TCCATTGTCTGTGCTGCAGCAGCACACAAAGATACCCTCCTCTTCAGTACAGCCTAAATGTATTTTTTTCCAATACCCTGACCTAAAGGATGCAGAGTCCAGCCCACGTGTGAATAGGGCTGTCAGGCAACAATGTCCTACACCGCCAAACTGCCTGTGTTTATCTGCGTAGGGCTTTTTTAATTGTATGTGTTAAACGTCCAGCATCTTTGGGACGTTCATCTGGGAAAAAGAAATGTGAACAGTCTCTGTGCCAGACATCCGTCCGCACTGCTGTTCCTATTCCCAGTGCATTCTTTGAGAAGACCACCATCTGCTCTGACCACCACCTAAGGCAGATGCCCCCTTCTCAGTGCACAGTCCCTGCTCTCAAGCCACCCAAATCTGATTAGGCCTGTTCTGATGAGAGGCCTGGAGGAGGGCAAGGGAAAGTTACTCAGGAGAGAAAATAATAACCACATGTTAATTAATTTTTCACTACGGATGCGCAGAAAATACACAAACCAGCTCAGGGTGCACAAGGCAAAAAGAACAGCTCAGCTGGCTAGCTGGGGGGGGCGGGTTGTGATTATTTTTGGGGTTTGGGATTGTCATTATTATTATTTTCCAGAGGAGGAGTGGCCCCAGCCCTGTCAGGGAAAGGAAATCTTATCCCCACTGCTGCCCTCTACACGCTCTTTTCCAGCTTTCCCTCCTGGTCCCTTGGATTTCCTGTGGTGTCCTGCAGTGAGAGCAGAGCGAGAAGCACCCCCTGGCACCCCCGGGGTGGGGCTCTGCCTGTCCCTACAGCTGGGGACATCCCCAGAACGGTGCTGGCCCGGCAGATGTGCCTGGGGAAGGGCGAGCGGACAGGACGAGCGGGATCAGATTGCTGAGGAGCACAGCCAGGGGAGAGCAACCAAAACACCGCTCCAGAAGTATTTGGGAAAAGCAGCTGAACAGACATTAAGCCAGAATCCAGGCATAACTGTCCTCATATCAGCTTCATGAATTATTTGACTGTGTGCCTGAGAGCAAGGAAATATACCCCAAACCCAGCCCAAACCACCAAGGATGCGGAGAGCACTGAATTAAAAGGAGCTGAAGAAAATCCCTGACAAGTTATCTCTAAATTTGAGAGCCACTTCAGGCAAAACCAAACTCTCAACTGCACTCATCTGAAATGGTTCATGGGATTTCTGGCCAAGGGGGGTCAGGGAGGCTGTGACCAAAGAAGCAGGAGGCAACAACTTCTACAGACCCCACTCTGGAAGGTTTTGGGGACTGTGGTGATTGGTCTCCCTTTGCAGTGGCTCTGCAAATGCTCCCAGTCCTAACATCTGGCTGGCATCTAGGCACTGGGAAATAAGCTGCATTGCCCCTTGGAAAATTCGGTTGTCCCCTAGGGTATATGTGCCTGTGTGTGCTGGTTTAGGGGAGCCTGGGTGTAACGCCTGTCTGTAGCCTGCAGGGACTCTGCCAGGGAAGATGCGGGGGCCTAGGCATGCTCCTCGCTGAAACTTCATCTGTGCAGAGGCCCTTTGGGAATATCCGGGCTTGTGCCGGCCTGGTGGAGCCGCTGACCCTCGGGACTCCCTCCCGGACAAAGGGGAGGGGGCATCTAGCGAGCAGCGGGGTCGAGGGAGTCTGGCTCGGCCTCTCTGGGGTACCATGACTCTGCAGCATTTGGAAGATCTGGGATAGAGTCGCTGACTGCATGGAGAGGACCCGGGAGGGAGTGCAGGATCTTTGGAAGGGGGTACAGCTCCTAATCTGCCCTCCCTCAGGGGCTCCTGGCACAGGGGGAGCGATCGAGGAGGGCTGCTAAGAGGTCTTAAAAAAAAAAAATTGCAAAGAATTTTTTTGGGGCATTGCATGGGGGAGGGGGGCCGAGAGGGGAGAAAGAAAGGAGCCTCAGAGCACCACGAAGGGAGAGGGAGAAATAATGACCCTTCCCCCTCCCCCCAATAATCAGGCGGACCAGATGGGAGGTAAATAGTGCGTTTAGAAGCATTTGCCACAGATGGGCTGCCCTCAATGGAAGCATCCTCCAGCCACATCAATGCTGGAGTCTGTGTGCACAGAAAACACTGCACCCTTCAGAGCAGCAGCAGCGGCAGCAGCAGCAGCCGCGGGAGAGGCGGGGAGGGACAGGGGGAAAAAAAT